TAGCTCTTTATAGTAGTCCACCTTAAAAACCTACCAGATGTCCTGACCTTATAGCCACAAATGTTTTGCTGTGTGCCTGCCAAAGGCACAGTGATCCTTTGTCTTTTGGTTTTGAATCTTTTGTGTCCCTTCAGCTGAAGTACCTTATCTGATAAGCATGAATTGAGGATATTTAATATGCTTGAACTGAACACTATCAAGGGAAAGGTGCCTGATTTTAATAAGTAATTAGTGTCCACTATACAAGGAGAGATGACTTTCCAAAATCTGAGATGTAAAAATTTGCATTCTAGCTACTGACTCATTGAGGAGTGGTAACTTCCTTTTCAACTTCGGCATGAAGAATGGGAAGGGGAACACTGGAAATGTTAAGCACTGACAGGAAAAGAGATTAATGGGACAGAGAACCATGGGGGAAGACCAGTATGGGAAAAGACTTGTGGGGTTTGGGGAAGAGGGAAGGAACTCTGGCTTCCTTTTGTGGTTGATCCAACAGCTGCTTTTATGTTGTGCATTAAGCTTTGGTGGTGGGGATGGGGAGGGGAGCAGTGTCTCTGCAGCAGAGGCTGTGACAGTAACTGTGTGCTCTGCCCCTCTGCAGTGGGGGACCATGGCTATGACAACTCCCTGCCCAGCATGCACCCGTTCCTGGCCGCGCACGGTCCCGCCTTCCGGCGCGGCTACCGCCTGGGCACCGTGGCCAACGTGGACATCTACCCCATGATGTGCCACATCCTGGGGCTCGCCCCGCGGCCACACAACGGCACCTTCGCCAACACCAAGTGCCTGCTGGCTGACCAGTGGTGCCTCAGTATCCCCGAGGCCATTGGGATCGTCATCGGGGTTTTCATGGTGCTGAGCACTTTCACCTGCATCATCATCATCTCCAAGAGCAGACTGGCTCCCTCCCGGCCCTTTGCCCGGCTCCAGTTGCAGAGTGATGACGATGATCCTTTGATTGGATAGCGTGGAGGGAGCCAAGCCTCGCTTCCTACGTTGTGGTTTCAGGAAAACAGTTTCAATTTGCACTGGATGGCATTCTTTGTTTGATGCACTTTATCTGTGTAAAATACTGTACAGTCAGACCCTGCTGATCTCTGTGACTAGTGTCTTATAAAAATATTTTTGTAACCAAACGGTGAACAGGTGGCTTTTTACTGGGAGAGATGCTTAACGAAATAATGCTGCTTAGTTTTTCATTCAAGCCTCTGAACACTTTCAGAGTGTGACTAGCCAGGATAGACAAAGCAAATTTTAATATTTGTAAATGATAATTGCTTTTTTTGTATTAAATTAATATTGACTACTTTTAGTGTTCTTGCACCTGTGTTGAAAAGAAAAACTTCATTGAGAGTTAGGAGTTAGTTTTGTTTTGAGAGTATATTCTGGTGTGCCCTTAAATCTGGGGAAAGAGAAAATCCAAGACTTTTGTTTCTATCCTAAATGAGCAATGTGACAAGAAATTTCTGAGAAAGAAAACAGAAGTCAGTGATTAAATAACTGGTGCATATCTCTTCTGTTTTGAGCAATAAACTATGTGGTTCAGCACTTAAAAGCCTGGGCAGGTGGCTCTGACATTTCTGGATGACTTAGATCCACAAGTCCGCTTGGGATGGCACTACTGCCTTATCTCAAGAAAGTCAGTTTAACCTGGGAGTCTTTTAATTAGCCAGTTTCATCAGCTGTAGGTGTAAAATCACTGCTCCTAAACCCTGTGGAAGACTTTCCAGGAGTAAATTCTGCTGAAGGTGTTTTTGAGATAAAGGTGGTTCTGCCCTGTGTACCAGCTCATAATTGTCTCTTGAAGGTTATTGTGCTAAAAAGCAACAATTGAAAGTTTGATGTGCAAGTCGTCAAGCAAGAATTCCAAACTCATATTTTAAACTCTGGAAATTTAAAGGAAGAAGTTAGCAGGTCTTATCTCAAAAAATAAAGTCTCTATAATGTTTGAGGTACATAGATGCAAATTCCTGATGAAGACCAGAGCTAACTTTTAATTGAAACTCTTGATTCTTTGTTACTGGTCATCTAGTAACTTGCTATAAAAAAAAATAGTTTGAATGAGAAAGCCTTAAAATGGTACCTTATCTTTCAGTGAGATTGTTATTGCTAACCAAAAAGAGAACTACAGTTACCAAGTCCTTTTCCTACAAGTCTGTTGCTTTTAAAAAATAAAGTGACAGAGGTACCTGGTAGCAATGGGGTTCCTCTTTCACAACTTCAAATTCATTGCAATTTGGTGTTGGCCACAGCCTTTTAGTGATCCAACAGCGAGGGAGGAGGAACTTTGGAGGGAATGTGTTATATTGAACTGCCCACTGGAAAAAATAAACTTGAGCTTTATAAATGTGTGGAAGTTTTAGTAATGTGTGTCTTCCTCTCTAGGGATTCCATTGTACTTGATTAAAAACACAGTCCAAAACCTAAGCAGTTCTGCTTTTTTTCTTTTTCCCCCCAAACTACTAATTATTACTTACTAATGCTTTACTCTGAATTTATCTGAACTTGAAAGAGTTCCGATTAATTGAAAGGCTCAAGCCCCTTGAAAAATCTGTGCTGTTACTGACAGGGTACTGGATTTTAACCTGTTGATATTCTAGAACAGTAGCTGGACTGAACACAGAATCACTTCCTTATCTTGCTATATTTAAATTTAATTAATTACATGTACCAAGAGGTCAGGTTAATGAGTAACTACAAAAGGACTGTGTTGCAGGGTAGAACCTAAGCTTAGATATGCTGTAAAGGGGAGGATGCTGTGTTGGAGAGAGTTTTGTATTGTTCTGATAATTCTGCTAATCCAGAGTGGGATCCTCAGAGGGTCAGTCAGAGAATTACTGGAGATGTTTTGCAGCATCTATATTTGGAAAGGCTTGACTGAGTTTACCTTTCTGGCAGATATCTTGTCCTCTACCTGTGAGTTTTGGGGTTTTTTTCTAGAAGCTAAAACTGACAGTGTTTTCTTCACTCAGTTCCTTCCCCCCAGCAGCTGTCACACAGTGTAGTCAATGTGCTCTCAGTTCCTCTGTGCATCCCCTCCCAGGCAGGCAGCACCAGCGAGGCTTTGCTGCCCAGAACTGTAAATGCTGAGTGAAGCACGATGGCAGAACTCCAATCTGAAATAGGAATGTTGCTACAGTTTGGGAGATCAAGGTTTAAATGCACTTCTCCTCCTCGCTCTAGGCAGCCCTTTCTGATGAGAACTGCTACAGGCACTGAGCTGCTGTGAAACCAGTGAGTGGCTGTGTCTGGTGGAAATGCTTATCACCCTGTTCCTCCTCCCTTTAGCGTGAAGATGGGACAGAGCTGCTGTGGAAAGGGTTTAAAGAGGAAATTTAAGTGTTAAATAGGAAAAACTATATTCCAGTTGCACTCCTGATTATTTTCATTTCCAAAGATGTGGTGTGGTCTGTAAGGGTGCTGAGTGCTCTTCCTGGCAGTAGCTCTTGTACATCCAGTTTCATATAGGTCATGTACAAATCAAGAGAATCTAGAAAAAGCGTCTTTCTGTCTTTAAGACATGCAGTTGATTTATTTAAGGAGGATTTAACAAAAGAGCTTTAAACATAACAAAACATTTCCACTGCCTCATTCTAGTTTGTGTGAAGTATTTGTCATGAAATCCAGTGGCTGGTTTCCTTTTGGACAGCCAGTTCAGAACAAGAACAGCAAAGCTGTGCCTTGTGCTTCCTCAAGGCTGCAATAAAGGGACAGTCGTTTGTGGCAACATTTAATGACTTGCTAAATAGACACAACTCAGCAATGGTCACACAGGGCTGGTTAATTCAGGGGAGGTTCCTAACCTTAACAGGCTTTGCAGTGTAGAGGGGAATAGGGGATATTACTGAAGGTTGATGTTTCATTACATTGACTGCCTCCATAGAGGAACTCTCCACACTGCGTGCAGCAGCCCTAAAACATCCACCCCCTCTGGGGTTCCATGCTTTTTGGGCATAGAACAGCTCCAGAATTGAGTTGCTTTCACGTGACTGCAGCTCTGAAACACTGCTTTCAGTAACTTGCTGCCTACACACTGCCTGTGAAAGTAAACCCACTTTGTGTACCTCTGTGGACCAGATCACAAGGACAGATGCTTGCTCTAACATGCATGGTAGCATCTTTTATTGCAAAAAGACAGAAATGGAGGTTTTTTAATAGGATTCAGATTAGGATTTCATTATGGAAAGGCTGATACTGCTATTGAATTTATCATTTTCATGTGCTTACAACAATTTTTGTTGTTTATTACCTAATAAATGCTTTTATCACCTTTACTGTAGGGCAAACATGCCATGGAAAGTTTGTACAGCAGCATAGGTATCAACTTAGCATCCATGGCATTATTTAAGCAGGGAAAAAAACTGGGAAGTAAGCCTGTTAAATTTCCATTTTACAAAACAACAGGACCCAACCACTGCACATTTGTCCTTGACCACATGCAGGTCAAGACTGTGCTGTTCACACTTCTGACAGTCGGCAGAGGGGAAGGGGGGTTGAAATGAGCTGATCTTTAAGGTCACCTCCAACCCAAACTATTCCATGATTGTATGAAAAGTCAGTTGCACAACATTTCATTTTACAGCAGGCCTGGCAGTTCTGGATTAATGGTTGCATTGGATGATCTTAAAGGTCTTTTCCAACCTAAGAAATTTACTGAATCCAATTTCTTGTAGCAGCACTACTGCAGCTCTTGATCAAGAAAGTCTGGAAGACTTTTTTTTCAGTAAAAGAAACTGGATTTCCACTATTGGTAACCGATAGCTGTTTTTTCCATATATGGCAGCAAGTTCGGAAACAAGAAGTCTGTTACCTAAGAACTGTGACCTAAAATTCCAAAGCTCTATCACACTTCCAATTATTTTTAACAAAGGCATACACACTGCAGAGTCCAAGGAATATCTGGGATGTGCATACAAGTTGAAACCATTCTCTCCTGGTCATCTCCCCCCAGTTCAAGTTTGTTTTCCAGAAGTGTTTTAAATGAAGCCAGCACTCCATGCTTGACAGAATTACAGCACAGATGTATTTTAACTTCAGCGTTTCCAAACAAGAAGAAACAAAGAAAACATTTGACATTTTTATGCTCCACAGGTCAGTAATGAAACACATCATGCATCATTCTTGGTTTCCAAGTTTAAGTTACAAGCAGTACACAGTGTACTCAAATTCTCTTTCCAGTAAACTTGTTTATACATCATAGAAAGTATCATATACACAGAAACCAAATCCCACGTCCCCCCCACCCAAAAAAGTGTCTGACAAAGTGTCACATCAGAGAAAATTTTTCTCCACTGGCATCATCTGTGGTTTCAATTTCATTAAGCTCACACCCAGCAACTTAAAACAGTTGGGCAAATGTCCTAACAACGAACCACCCAAGAGGTACCTGCAAATACACCTAAGAATAAAGGAAATGATTGACCCTAATCTGAAATACCCAAATGCTACAAGATTCTCTTTTATTTTTTTTTCTTTTTACAAAGTTTTATTTTGCCCTCCTCAAAGATGGGCCTCACAGTGCAATACAGAACAATGACATCAACAGTTCTCACATTCGTGTCCCCAGCCTATTCTGAATATTATTGTTCCCAAACCCTTTGTTGGGGGAAACCTACTGCTCTATCCTTGTTGCATATTTGGGAAGGTAAATCTTAAGTCCCAAATCACTGATCAATACTGACAAACTTTGCCCCCTCCTTAAAATCAAGAGTCACTTTGGCTGATGATAGAACTACACTTGCCACAATTAAAGTAGGGTTTAAGGAAAAGCTCTGAGATTACAACTCAGTATTTTTTACATCTGCCACGATCACTGCTATGAAATTACTGTAATAAGAAGAATTTCTACTGAAGCAATGTGTTCCAAAGTGCAGAAGCTACAGGTGAGGGTTATGGCGTTGTTATGACAATTGTCACTGTTATTGCCTTATCGAAGCCTGCAGACCTTCCTTTAAACACACAACATGTTTGTGCTACAATTCATTTTTAAGCTGAAAATAAGCAAGAAAAGGTGGACTCAGTACATCAGTTTGCTGTGTGCCATCCACTTTTTGGAAGGTGGGTAGGGGAGGGATTAGTAACAACTCAGAGGTTGGGGTTTTGTGCTCAGACTTCCCTGGTCTCTGAAAACTGCCGTGAACACGTTACTGGTGTCGTGGTTCAGCTGGAGCTCCTGCAAAACTCAGTTTTACCTGGGCCAGCAAATTCAACTTCAGGCACAGCTAATGGCCAGCTGCACCAAGAATCAAGGCTATCTTCCAACAGACCTGCATTTTTCCTGCCTTCCTAAAGCTACTATCACAGCTGAACTTTCAGCATAACCCTTAAGTTGGGCTATTTCATTGCATTCCCTCTCAAGCATTTGCTACACCCAGATGTGGCCTCTGGAAATGCCCACATCTGTCTGCAAGACACCTTGGTGCTAAGTGTCCCTGACATCACAGAGAAACACAACAGATCTTCATTAGGAGTGGAATTTAGCCCAGCAAAAGGAATTTTGTACTCCAGCTCTCCCCTTGCAGTACTGTCAGTCATGCCCTTGGTTTGGCAGAGCATATCCAAAGCCAAGGTGTTCCCATCCTTGCCCTCTGCTCGGGGCTGTGGCTACACACATAAATTGCATTTAAAAATACCCAGGTCTGCTACTTCTGCACTCATTTTGAAAGTTTCTTTCTCCTTCAGGCATTGTACTCAGCATCGAAATGCTGAGAAATACTATCATCTCACGGGGAGAAGTCTGACAATAGACAACTTTTCTCACATCAGAATGAGAAACTTTATACAAACTTTAGTCAGCAGATTTTCACTTGCCATTTAAGTGAGCTCATAAAAAAACCCCACAACTAGCCTAGTAAGAAGATTTATTGCCACACACAAAAGAATGAAAATATGTACCTTTGTTGACACAGAATTCATATTTTTCCTTGACAGAGGTTTTCCTCTGGAAAAATAACTCCAGTCTTACACCTTTTTTTAATTATTATTAAAGTGTGCTTTTTCAGATTTAAGAACATATATGGCTTAGGATTTACACAGCTGCCCTTTAAAATGTGTAGTCCTGATCATCCCATTCCAAGGCCCACCCAGACAGAGCAGATAAAGCACAAGACACAAGTCAAACTCAGAATCATCACTAGGAGACCAGGACCAAGCCTGACAACACTCTGAAACCAGCCTGAGCATCCTTGTTTCTCAACTTATTCACCTCCTTTAGTACCACAGAAATAGAAAAGACTCCATTTGGATACAGGTGTGGTGCTCATATGTGTCTTTATCCTGCCAGCTGCATGGAACGCCTAGAAAATTTAGTGCAGTGTACAGGAAATTGAAAAAGACCTACATTTACCTGAAATCATATCTAAAGTGGTAAAAATCTACATTTACTTGAATAAATTTTTAAAACATTACGAATCAAGCAGTTTAATGCTGATTGCTAAAGGAAATACCACTTAAGATTTGTATTTTGGAGCTACAGTTAGCACAGTAACTTGAAGAAATATATGTAACTCCAAACTTAGACACCTAGCTCTGCATGGCCTAGCTGAATAATAATGTTATTTCCTGCAGGATTTAAGACACCAAGTTATCTGTAATGGTGACCCATGCACAAGCTTTCTTGGGCAGGGAATTAAAATACTAACAAAGAAGTTTAGTACCATTGAGTGACTTGTTAAAATCAAAGAGCCTCAAAAAAACCCTCAAAGAATAAAACAAAAAAGAGGGTGGGAAATGAAATCACCATTTAATAGTCTGTGAATTGCACTGAAGTTTATGTTATTTCCCTAGAAATAGCCATAATAAGGTATTTGAGGCCTACTGTCACTACAGGTCTACATACACACAGAGTTTCCCAGGTTTGCCTAGGATATCCTCAAGCCCTGGAAGAGGAAGTGGCTGCAGGGTGAAACAGGAACATGCTCTCTCTCCATCCCTGGTCTGTACATGGCCCAGAGTACCAGTGGGTCAGCATCCATCTCTTTTCACTCCACATGGTCATGCTGATCCATCTCCATTGTTTATTTTCTTTGTATAGGCTTATGTTAAGCCTCAAACAGGAAATAATCCCAGGTGTTGTTAATCTTGCAGCAGTGGCTGGGCAGCTTCAGTGTGTTGGATTTGCATGGAATTTGCTTGGGCAAGGACAAAATGCTTAACAAAAACTGCAGTAAAAACCAAAACTAGCAAGCTGCCCAGGAAGACTCCTATAACAGTGGAGTAGGAATCTGCTCCACGGGCTCCAGGAACTCCCTCAACAAGTATATCCTTCACAGCATTTAAGGAACCATTGTTGGGCAGTGGTTTGATGCCAAGCAGGTGGCACAGTAAGGGGTACAAGTCTGTAGCATTCATGAATTGTTTGGTGGCATTCCTTCTGAAAGCAGGCCCAACTGCCAAAAAAATTGGATGCATTTCTGGTACAGTGTTGTCATATCCATGATTACCAACTAGAAATAAAAGACAGATAAAGGTCAATATCCCAAAGTTGCAAAACAAGCATTGAACATTTTCCTAAAATAAGCAGAATGCAGAAAAGGCACAGCCATCCTCAGAGAGGCTTAGAATTGTTTTGATTGACAGCACAAATGTCTCCTAGCAAATACCAAGTCTCAGAACTACAAAGAGAATACCTAAAAAACCCACAACAGAGAGCACAATTTAAAGAAGGGGGGGGGGAAAGTGAGCTCATATGGCAGTAACAGCATTGTCAATGGCACACTATGTACACCTAAACTTCCTTGATTTTCCTCAAATTAAAACTCCAACATTGCAACTGATCCAGATCTCTTAGAGAGAATTCAAAAAAACATGTAGAGTCAGACTGTCTGTGTGACTCCAAGGAGACACTTCGACATTTTGTCCAATTTTGTGCACCATCAACTCCTCAACAAGGAAGAAGAACTCACTGGTGGGTGTCCAGTGCCCATTCCTGACAATGGCATTAAAAACTGGGAATGTGTCAAACACACAGGCACAAGAAGATGCTCTCAGCAGCTACTGAAAATCTTGTTAATTCTTGCTGGAACCAGCAGCAAAGTTCAAAAGGTTCTCAATTAGAAATGTAAGAACTGACCATATGACATCTGTATCTTAGGTTACCAAGAAGTTACAGTTCACTGTCTCCGTGCTACCTATAATAAATCTCAAAACTGCAAGGTGAGGAATTTGAAAGTGTTGGGGGTTTTAGTCCTCCAAGTCACCTAAAATGCTTTTTTCCCCCCCCAAGGCAAATGAAAATCACCGGTGTGCAGTAACACAATATCCAAAGACTCTTTGTAGCAATAGAATGAGGTTACTCTAAGTGTAGCACCCACATAAGCTGAGAACTTTCAGAAAATATTCTTTTATTTTCCAACCCAACCCAACCCTTCTCAAGTAATAAGTAAAACATGATAAAACAACCCTATTCACCCTTTACTCAACACATTCAGTTAATTCAGTTACAACTTTCCTTTTTAATCTCTCAGGAAGTGCTTGTTGCTTTGCTATATCCTGAAAGACCTCAAGTATGGGGCCACTAAAACATGTGATTGATCTTATCTCAGTAAGTTTAATGTTTAAAAAAACGGTTAAATGCAGTTACTGCACTTGCTAGCACCTACCTAACAGTAGGGTGCTTCCCATCCCATCAAGGGAAAAAATTATAAATTTCACACACTTTCATTTTCCCTCCCAGCCTTAAAAAAAAATAATAACGATGAACATTGGTTGTATCAATACCAGGAGAGAAAGTACCACATAAGGTCTCTGCCTTGGAAGAGAATACTTACATAGAAAACCATCAGTCTTGTTATGTACAATTTCCCATCCTTTATCAGCCACTGCTAAGATGGGCTGAATTTTTCTGTTGTGTTTGTAATGAAATCTATCTGGAATCTGCTCCTTTTTATATACAGTCATGTTGGGATGAGCATTGGCCAAAGCTTCATATACTTCTTCCAGTTTGCCTTCAAACAAACAAAAGAGACAAAAGACAAAAATTAAACATACCAGTGTGTTTCCTGAACTCATCAGTAGTTAAAATACAGCTGAAGGAAGAGGGCAAAATGCACTTCCCCAGAAGTAAGAGGCAACAGTGTGTGCACAGAAGTTCCTGTGAGAAATGCAGAACCTCAGTCATGGTAAAATAGCCCTTAGCACCAGACTTCACAGCCTGTTCCCAAGCAATAACTGCCTTGCTAATTTTTGAAAATAAAGCCCTCATTTCACAGTCATCAGAATGTAAGCTTCTCACAGGAATGAGTTAGAAAGCATTCAGCTGTCTCCTGGAAAAGGAACCAAACCCTCCTAGCTCCGTGGAAAGTCTGAAAGCAAGAAGACAGCTCCTAAACCTGTTTGTGAGGCAATGGTTGCATTCAGTGACACTTTTCGTCTATTTTAAAGCAGTTTGATGCTTTCTTTTACTATTCAGTAACAGCCAACAGCATGAGCTACTCCTCTGTATTCCCAGTGCCTGCTCCTTTCCCTTCCCTAGTCACAGGGATCATAAACCCTCAAGAGCTCCACTAACACTGAATAAACAGGCATTTTCCACCCCCAATTCTTTATTTACTTACTTCCAATTTCTGAGCTTGCCTTTCCAGTAAAAGCCACTGAAGAGCCACAACCAGTTGGTCAAACTGGCTGGAACACCAGTGCACAGATTGAAGGAACCAAAACAGACAGCCAGGAATATAAAAGCAAGTTCAGGAATTGACATCTGACCAAATTTCTTCCTTCCCCATCTCCACTTAAGGCCAGATTCCTGCTGAGAGCCGTGGAGTGCTCCTGTGACACACCAAATCCCTCAGCTCTGTGACTTAGGTAAGTATTTGTGTGACATGTGAAGCTGAATGCACAGTGTGTCTGCAAGCTCCTTTCAGACTGCCATTTCCAGTATCCACGGAGTTTTGAATGGCTATCAGTAAAAAGGTTTGGGAGAAAGTGGCCATTGTTTCTAAAGAAACCATCTTCATTTTCCCCCTCACTTTCTAGAATCCAGGAGAGAAATTCTAAAGGAAAATACATTAGTGTATACATTCTGAAAGAAAAACATTAATGTTTCTTATCTCAAACTGGCACCAAAAAAAAATCACTAAATTAAGAAACAAAACGAAAGTTAAGATGAGACAGCAAAAGCAAAGCTATCAGAGATAGTTACAGCAACAAGAAGAGGGACTCTAATGCAGCATTTCTAGGACTATATTAGCAATAAAGTTAATTTTGCTATGCCAGCTTTCTATATGGAATGGCAGGGAAGAGAAACCTCAAATATAGCAAATTTGATTTTACCCTAATTATTTGAATTAATATATTTATATTAAATGCAAGAAAAAGGCCAGCATCACCAGCTGTGGTACAGGTACCTTCTTTGTGAACATTTAATTAGTTCCCCATACACACTTAATACACCAGCATGGTTAAATAATGGCTTTAATCCATCTCTTGGGGAAGCAATACACAGCCAAACAGTTAAAAGAAATTTTTAAGCATTCAAACCTTTTCTCAATCTCATTAAGTTTTACCATTCCCTTGGTTTAATAAAGACAAATGGAATAACAGATGAAGAATCAGTGTTATGTACTTAAGCATATATTAGCTCATACTTGAACTGACAGTGAAACTCATTGTTTTATAATAAAAATCACATCTGGTACCAGTGAAGAAAAGAATTTTAGCTGTGCTCAAAACTAATTCTTGTTTATTGGTAGTGTAATAAATACCTGAATCTCTGGGCAAAATCAAATCCAAGCGGTTTCTGAAATCCACTGAAATGGCTTTTTTACTATTCTGTCATCTAATTGCAGCAGAGATACTGTTTCTTTACAGCATTTAGCAGACAGGAGAATCAAGTTACGCATCTTAAAGTTCTCCTTTACTGCATTAGGGAGGTTTCAGCACTGAAGTTTACTTTTACAGCTTCTTTATTTGCTAATGAGAACATCTTGGGCAACCTATTTGCCTCTATGGGGATGAAGTTCCCAAACCTGGCTCTTTTATCACCTCAGAGAGAAACAGCACCCAGCTACAGGGCACGACTGTGCTCAGGCAGCAGAGACCTCAGTCTGGGCATACTCACATTTTAGTCTGGAATATTCTTCAGATTAAAAATGACAAGACACATTTGTTCATGCACTTACAGGTCACTTAATTCTGCAAAAGATGTCCTGCTTAGGCATTAAATACAGAATGCTATCTATCTATTAGTGATGCAAATGTTATATAATTCTTTAAAAACACCTTATTAGCACTTTTTTGTGTGGGCAGGGGTGTTATTTTCCAGGTTAACACTTTTGCACCAAGTAGTTTACAGTACTTGACCATCAAAAAAAAGAGCAGATGCATTAGTGACACTAAACATACACCTGACACCTCAGCAACCCTTCAGTGACTGCCACCAGATTTCAGCTTTCAATCCCAACATTGTTCTTGCCCATCTTTATCTCAGTAAAAATGGTATGAATGTAACTGGCTGGCTGTTCAGCATGACAGATTAAAAAACCTCAAATGAACTACAATAGCTGGCAGCTAATCAAATAGCCAACACGGGCTTTCTTTTCATCAAATATCCCCATCTGTTCTCAGTTTACTGTTTGAGTTAGAAATATAATTCTTCCACTGTGGCTTCAGCATCTTGATGGAAGGCAAGATATGTAACATTCAGGTGTTATCTATCTAGAGCACCATTCAGCCTTGATAATGCCATTAGATTATCTTACTTCTCACAAGAACTAAAGGATCCTTGGCAATATTAGCCAACAGCAAACAGATTTGCTCACTTTTCTTTTCTGAAAGTTAATCCAGGCTTTTGACAGAGCCTGCAAAAAGAACAAAGGGATCGTGCAAGAACTCCTTGTTCAAGGCTGATACCCTACTGCCATCAGTGCTGCTACCACCAACTCAGTCTATAAAGTTTGGATACTCAAGTACCTCCTCAGGGAATGTTACTGCTGTAGCTCCTACCTTCTTTTGGCAAAATTGCTACTGTAGGGGTGTGCTCAATGATTTCATAGAGCTCTCTGCTCACGTACTGATCAAGCTCAATGAGCCTTTCTGAGGACGACTGTGACATCCCGTGATCACTTGTGACTATGACATTTATCACATCCCACAGCTTCGCTTTCTTCAGTTCAGAAATGAGATATCCCAGTTTTCTGTCAATGTCCTTGATTGTCGCTCCCATAAGTGGGCTTTCTGGGCCCAGCAAGTGGCCCATCTCATCAGGCTGCTCCCAGTACAGAAGACCAAAGTTTATGGGTTCTTCTGATGTAAACCAGTCAATGAGCTTTGCTACCCTGTCTTCAAAGGGAACAGATTCATTGTAGGGCATGTAATGTGTAGGCAAGACTCCATGTATCTTCACATCTGTCCCAGGCCACATAGCAGCACCAGATTTGTGTCCTTCCCTCTGGTTTGTCACCCATATTGGGCAGGCCTCTTCCCAGAACTTGGAGTTGTGGGTGTTCATTTTGTTCAGGGAGAAGGATTCGTTCAGGACAGGGTCGTACATCTCGTTAGCGACGATGCCGTGGCTCTCTGCATAGAGCCCAGTCACCAGCGTGTAGTGGTTGGGGTAGGTCTTGGTTATGAACACATTTGTGACCTGCCTGACGTGCACCCCGTTCTTCATGGCATAGTGGAAATTGGGAGTGGGCACTCTGTAGATGTAATCCCATCGAAACCCATCAAAAGACACCAGCAGCACTTTGGGCCGGGCTGGCTGGAGAGACAGTGCATTTTGAAGAAAGATTAAGAAAATTCCCAGGACTTTCCAATAACTGCTCATGGCTATTCTGGAAGGTATCTGTCCCCTCTTCTGAGGCATCATGGCACCTGTTGAGCAGGTACAGAAGTTGTCAAAATCATAACTTAGTTTTAAGAATGAGTGGCTAAAATATTCCTTATGTATTTATATGATCTAAGATACATTTTATGAAAGTATGCAGTGAGAGGACAAGGGGGAATGGCTTCAAACAGACAGAAGGCAGGGCTAGATTATATATTAGAAAGAGATTATTTACTATGAGGAGGTCAGGCCCTGGAACAGGTCCAGAGAAGCTGTGGCTGCCCCATCCATGGAAGTGTCTAAGGCCAGGTTGCACAGGGCTCTGAGCAACCTGGTCTCGTGGAAGGTGTCCCTGTCCTTGGCAGGGGTTGGAAGAAGATGAGCTTTAAGGTCCCTTCCAACCCAAAGCATTCTGTGATCCTAATTCTGATCACAAGACTCCAGGATTTTGACTACTCCTAGCTATGAGAGATATTCCTCATCTAACAGTCCTTATTATGCCCTTATCTGACAAAATATGACACATAATTTCACACTGTATTGGCTTGTGCTCCCCTGACCCAGTTTCTTCCTGTTCTTCTCAAGCAATTTTCTGTTTAAAACTCAGATATCTACTCAAAGATAAACCCCTGTACAAACCCCCACACAGAACTTCCCCATCTGTAACTGACCTAAAATTTCATGCTAATATTCCCCACTTTTTACTCAACAGCATCATTTAACCACAATAGCAGATATTGCTCAACCCAATCCTGCATGTGAGCTGTACCAACATTCCTCACAGTTCCCTTTAGGTTCCCATTTTGCAGCAATCCTCTGGGACTCAACCACCAGTGAAATTCAGCTGGAAAATAGTGAATTTGCAACCAATAAATCCATTTTAATACTCAGAGTACATAAATATCCTAGTGAATATAAGAAGTTATGGTATAACAAGCACCTGAGTACCACTGCAACAATGGAATGGGATCTGTGGCTGCCCCACCCCTGGAAGTGTCCAAGGCCAGGATGGACAGAGCTTGGAACAACCTGGGCTGGTGAAAGCTGTCCCTGTCCATGGCAGGGGGTTGGAATGAGATGACTTTTAAGGTCCCTTCTAACCCAAACCACTCTGTGATTCTAGGATTCTGTGATTTGCAGGCAGTCAAATGTTACACTGAACTTATGTGTCCCTCGAAATTAAAATCCAGGCCTTGAGTTCTGCTGAGAACAAACTGACATTCCAATGTTGTAATTCCCCTTTCAGCAAACAACACAGACCCAAAGGCTACAGATTACCACAGATCCACCTGATGGGGGATTTCTTCCAGCTGAACCTGAAGGACGAAGGGACAACACACTGTTGTGTTCATAGAACCCCAGCTGCCAAATTAGACATAGCCCATAAATTCCCCTTCTGGGGAGGGGCAAGTATGGACTGAAGCCCTCTCAAGTGAAATCAAGTCTCTATTTCTGTATTTTACACGACTAATGATCTCAGCATGATCTATAATTCTATTATTCTAATTCTTTAACTGCATGCTCTCAATAAATCATAAATGACGGGTGGTTTGGTTCTTTACCCAAGGCCTTCTCATACTGCTTTTCCCCAGATACAGCCTAAGCACATCTACTGACCGGGGCTTCTGCAGAACTCGGCACCACAAAACTCTGGGGACCCGAGAGGCTCCGTGGGGACGAACCCACCGGAGTGCCAGGGGCAGGAGCTGCCACACGGACACACGGACGGACAAGACATACCGAGAACCGCCCGGGGCCCCGCTCGGCGGCCACCGGAGCTCGGCACACGCGAATGCCGAGCGCAGGCCGCCATTCCCCACACGCAGATCCCGCAGCCCCAGCAGCCCCGGAGGCCGCGGGCACCCCCCGAGCCCCGGAGCCGCCGCCGCCGTTACCTGAGGGGCCGAAAGCCGCGGGTCCGGCCCGGCCCCGCCCGGGAGCGGCCCCGGCGCTGTCACTCAGCGTGCGGGGCGGGCCCGGCGGGACGGGGACACGGAATTACGGAGTCACGGCGTCTTTTGGGTGGGGAAAGAGCGCTGAGGTCACAGATGCAGCCTGTGACCGAGCACCGTCGCCTCAACCCGGGCACTCCTTGCCGTGTCCGGTCTTTCCTTAAACACCTCCGGGGACGGTGACTCCACCGCCTCTCTCGGCAGCTTATTCCAGTGTCTAGTCATCATTTATGTGAAGAAATTCTTCCTAATGTCCAGCCGAAACCTCCCTTTGCTCAGCTTGAGGCCTTTTCCTCCTGTCCTGTCGCTTGTTACCTGGGAGCAGAGCCCGATCCCCCCCCGGCTGTCCCCTCCTGTCAGGGAGTTGTGCAGAGCCACAAGGGCCCCCTGAGCCTCCTTTTCTCCAGCTGAGCCCCCCCAGCTCCCTCAGCAGCTCCTGGGGCTCCAGAGCCTTCCCCAGCTCCATTCCCTTCTCTGGACACGCTCCAGCCCCTCAATGTCCTTCCTGAACTGAGGGCCCAGAACTGGACACAGCCCCCGAGGTGACCTCACCATGCCCAGCCCAGGGGACAGTCACTGCCCCGGCCCTGCTGCCACACCATGGCTGGCACAGCCCAGGTGCCTTTGGCCTCTCGCCCACCTGGGCACACCTGAGCCATGTTCAGCTGCTGTCACCAGCACCGCCAGGTCACAGGTGAGGTGACCTCGGGTGGTGTTTGGAGAAAGCTCCTTGGTACAGCCCCTGTACGGGTGTCAAGAGGGGCAGGTTGTAAGGGTGTTGCTGCATGTCATACATTAAATAGAGATTAAATAGAAATAGAGCTTGGGCAGGGCTGGCTCAGCTGTCACCTGAGTGTAAAAACAAGGAGTAAAATTCATTCTCTGGATATCTGGAAGTGCTTCTTCAGTTAGAAATAATAATAATAATTGGTTTTGATTCTGCTGTTTTTCTATCAGCCTTTTTTTCTCCTCTTGTGTTCTGAGGCTCTTAAATTTTCCATCTGCTTCCCGATCTTTTGATGTCCAGACCCACAGCTATGCCCTGGAATGAAAATTCCTTTCTCCTTCCCCATCTCGCTAGAATCTAAACTGCTGAACTGGACAAAAATCCAAGCTAGGTTTCTCACCTTTCCTAGTTGAGGAAAGTCCAAAGTGCTACGTGTAAGTCCAATGTCCATGTCCCATATATGTACACAAACCCCATCCCAATTCATGGCAGTGTACAAAAACATTATTCTCTTACTGGTGCATGGGAACACAGAATCACAGAATTGTCAAAGTTGGAAGAGACCTTGAGGATCATCAAGTCTAACCATATAGAATCACAGAATCAAACATGATGCCTATTAATCAGTTTATAGCTGACATTGCCTGTCTGGTGAATATATATATATGTGTGTATACACACAAGCACTATCTAGTGAATGAATATATATATATTTGTATTTATATTTATGTTTATATTCATGTTCATATTCATATATGCGATACGTTTCTCCCCTTCACCCTACCACCAGGGACTGTACTAGGGGACAAGGCTCTTCTAATTGTTTTCTTGATGTCTTTTTTCCTCTCCTTCACTACCGCTGTCCTCTTACAGGTGTGAGGCTGAGCTAGTCCAAGCCTGGAGAATCACATTGCTGCAGTGCCTGGTAGAACGTGTGTGGATGTGGCTGTTCTGCACTTGTAGGACAAAGTTCATAATCTGATTCCTGGCTGTGAACCCCACCGGAAACTTTGGGCAAAGGGAAGAAAGGAAAAGGTTGTTACAAAACTCCACCTATGTGTATTGAAATCTCTTGCTGGTTGTCCGTCAACAGCAAAGTGCTGTCCCACGCTCTTTGTTACTCATTAGCTAGAAAAAACTGCTCACATTTACTGTTGGTTCAGATTTGATTTTGGGCTCTCTCTCGGATCCGGAGGTGTTGGGAGCTGCCTCTGCAGTGGCCGGGATCAGTCACTAGAGGGTACAGGTGCACCTGGATTTAAGGAACGACATGAATAGCTGGAAATGATATTTGCCTTGGATGCCAGAAATGGCTCAGCTGCTTAACACTCATATCAAATGAAAGTAAAGCACGGACAAGGAGTTTGCTAATTCCACCAAAATGTTTAATACCATAATAGATTTTCATTGAAGTACAGAGCTAATGTGAATATTTGTACAAAATATGTGGTTAAAAATAGTATTGATTTATAATATATACAGATATGTCACATCCGTGTCAGAAATGCAGACACTCAAATGAAACCATGAGCAATGCTTTTAAATCTACAACAACATACACGAAATATTTCTGCAGCTACCCACAGTAGGACAACTTGCCAAACTGACACTTAAGGATCCACCAGTCCTTACAGATGGCATTTCTGTCAGAAGTCTGTACAAGAACTCCGCTCTAAAATGGATTCAAAACATTTACCTTCAATAACCCAACCATGAAGAGAACACATCTGTGTGACACTAATGTAGACACAACTTTCTTGCACTAGATATATGATCAGTTACAATAATTTGTTAAAAGAAGGCTGATTTCCTGGTGAGAATAATAGAGAAGTTTAATCCTTCTTTCTGGATACTCTTAATGTTGTGAGTGAGGAAGCCCCTGAATTCAAATGGGCCCTTAATACAGCTCTAGGGTACATGGATCTGAATCCTGAAGTCTGTTTTAAGGTTCTGAGTATCTTCATTTTTCATTAACTTCAAGGCTGCTCACACTTCACAGCTTTCCCAGCCTTACTCCAGCAAGAATCTCCCTAACAAAGGTCCCTATTCAAGCTTTGTAACTGCGGCATCAGGACACAATCCTAAATTAAGATCACTCTTGCTGCAGCCCCAGAATCTGTGTAGTTACTGAACAAACTGACAGAAGAGGAGAGAGAATTCAGGCTGGTTTTTTTTTAAGCTTTCTGAGCATTTCTGAGCAGTAGGGGCTTTCAGGGTTCCTGCCCTTCCATCCAGAGTGCTGCTGCTGTTCTGCCTCTAACAGTGCTGGTTTCTCTCCCCTCCAAGCCAAAGCAAATATACTCCACACTTCAAACAGTCCTGTGGGAAAGAGCTTTTACAACACTTCCTCCCTTGTTCTTTAACCCTGGATGCTGCAGTCTATATGTATTCAAAAAAGAGCACAGCTACTGTTATAAAAACATCTCTTTTTAAGAGAAGCCTAGACTATTGAAAGCTGCTGTACTCCCCCGGAAGATGGGTTAAACTAGGAAAAGCAGTGTTTTGGTTTTTGCTAGTATAACTCATTATTCAAGAGCACTGCATGATGCTGAGTACTAATGAGGGTCTGACTGGGACTTTAATCCATACCTGGTTTTGCTTTTCGATAAACCAGAACTAAAAGTGATTTCTTAGGCAAAAGGGAATCAAGGAAATGCAAAGGTCTTACATTCACACTGGTATGTGAGAGAAAGCCTGAAATGGCAAAAAGTTTAGTGCTGAAGTGTTTGCCACTAAAGGAGGACCAAAAATAAATTCAGTGAATATTCTTTAGAATATTTGAAAGCGCTGTGACTGTGATCAGTCTGATCCTCTGGGACACACAGCTCTCTAGCATCCACAGCTGAAGCCCTGAAGCTCATTTCCCAGTGCTGTGTCCAGTGCCAAGCACGATGGAAGAGCCAGCATGTTGCAAATACAGCATTTCAGCTGGGTGGATGAAGAAACTCACTGTGGTGGGGGAAGCTCTTCTGGGGCTCAAAGTGAAGAACAAACTAGGCCTCCTGCCTTTCACCTCTAAAAAGAGGTGAAAAGAACCCCAGAAGTAGTTCACTATTACTAGTTTTTCTAATTAAAACACAGAGGTTAAGGCCTGTCCTTTCCAAAGGAATTAAAGAGCTGAGTTTACTTCTCCAGTGAGACTTCTTAAGTAGATCTAATTTTCATGAACAATCATCCTTTCAGGAAGGAAGTTTTTTATGCCAGGCACACAGAAAAACAAATAATTTTTTCAAATCCAGAATTTCACAGGACAGTTATCAGCAAACTCATCTCCCAGTTTCCATTCCTTTGCAAGACTCAGCACAAACTGATGCAAGAGACAACAATCAGTTTCAATTTTTATAATAATCAATCTTAACAGAACTCTTACCCCAGCCTGGCTGGCAGCTGGATGCCATGTTCCTTGTCCAAGCACTCATGGCCACAGCATCACCCATGATTATAAAAGCACAGTGAGAGGCACATCAGGGGTCTGGGATGTGCCGAGCTTTGCTCACCAGGGACTGCACTGCAGCTTTTTTTGTGTACACCGAGCCAAATCCACAGCAAACCAGAGTAAGTTCACATGACTGTGAAACTGCAGCGGCTTAAAATGGAACATGGCATATTCTGCCAACAAGAAGGCTGCTCTCCCCTTAATTGCTACTGATACAGTTTGGCCTATGTCACACGTTTAAGCATTTTCAGTTCTACCAGGGGTACACACCACACTACTCAGTTTATTGATATAGTTTAACTCTTTAAATGTTGCTTTTCCAAATGCCAGTGCAAGCAGAACACAAAAATACTGTTTGCCATATTTATTATTTTAAACTAAGCTCTGAATTATACAAGTGTAAAAGTGATTAATTAGCCAGTAGCTTTTTAATACTCCTATAAAATATGACTAAATAGAATATTTCAAAAGTTATGTACAATACAGTGGAAATGCTCATGGCATCTGTGACAGTGCTCAGACAATCCACTGGAATCGCATTCTGCCAGGAGTTCAGTCCATTCCTCAATACAAACAATAATCTGTATTTTTGTAAAAGCTGAAAGCTTTTACAGTGCTGCTGAATGGGACAAAAGTGGGGGAAGACCAAAATAAAACCAACCCATCCCTCTCACCTAATTTAGGATCAAATT